CAATTTTTCACCTCCCAAAAATTAATTTTTTTTACTGTTATTTCATTATTTCAACCATCATTTTTTATTTATTCACTCAGAAGTCGGACCTACTTTTCTCTCTAACGATCAAAAAATTAATTCTTATAATCACTCCAGATGGACCTCGGGTGAATTTTTATGAGAGATTAGAGATCTTTCCTGGAACAAAATGAAGGTTATGGTAAAGCTTGCAAAAAAATGAAAAAGTTAGGGACCGCTGCTGCAATTTTTTGTAATAATTATTACAAAAATGAACCGAAAAGAAATTTAACCCTTATTTATTAGGGATTATAATCTATATTTTAATATAAGTTAAAGTCAATAATTAGTTTTAACAATATATTTCATAAGATCCATAACGTTTAAACTATATATTTTATCAACTATTATCAAAATCTACTAATAAATTTGATTTTAATCCCAACAATTGCTTAAACATTTAACTTTTGATGCTTATTCTTTTGCATATTTAATATGGTAATATATCATATATTTTCAAATATTATACTGTATAAATGTCAAGGGTATAAAAATAATTAAAAACAGCTATTAAATTAAGTAATATAAAATATTTAATGAATAATGAACTAGGTTTATTTAAACTATTCTAAAACTTTTAATTTACGTTGACTTATTAATTATATGTCAATCATAGATGCAAAATAAATAAATTAATTAATTAATTTTTTCAAAAAAAATCATATTTTGTAATTTTTTAAAATTTATAATAATATTCATAATGGTATTTTTAAATCTCATCTGTTGATGTAAATCAAAAGTATTAAAAATATATCTTAATAAATAATAAGAAAGAAAAAAAATATATTTTAAATATAATAAAATAAAAATTTTAAAATAGTATGGAGGGTAAAATGGGAAATAAAATAAACAAAAATATGCTAAAATATAATAAAAATTGAAAATCGCATAGAAGAGTAAATTAGAAAATGATGTTTGGAATATGTTAAAATAAATTTTCGATAAGGCTTTTGAATTTTTTAAAAATAGAAGGAAGGTCTCTGACTCTCTGTAAGAGTCATAAACCTCAAGGGATGTTAATGTAATTTGCTCTTAAACATATAAGCAATTTTATTAAGTTTAACCATAAACATTCTGATAGCAAGAAATAAGTGAACATATAAAGCGATGTTTTTATTTATTCTATTTTATAAATTCAAAAATCAATTTGGAATTTGAATTTGAAACGAGACGACGAAATTGATGGCACCTTTTACAGGCAAGCACCAACAACAATTTTTAATGATAAATGAAATTCAACAATTAATATGTGATTTTTTTTTCAACCTTCAAGAATAAATAGGCCTAGGCAAAGAATCCAAAAATCAACTAAACCAATCAAATCGAACTAGCTCGGGTTGGTTTGACAAGGTAATTCATTTGGTTTGATTTTTTTTTAAATAAAACCCTGGTGAGTAGATTCATTCTTGATTTGAAGTATTAAACCACTAGTTAATCGAATCAATCCAACTAAACCCACTTACATGTTTATCTTTTTTTTTTTTTTTAAGAAAATTAAAAATCAAAAGATAAACCTTAATCATATAATCATATCTCGATTCCTTTCAGTTTATGATGTTGGTAATAAGTAATAACACTAAGAATTTCCTTTCACAATTTCATTATGTTATACTTACCATTTTTCTCTATTCAGGTAGTCAGGCTAAATAATGAATAAAAAGTGACAAAATTCTTAAGTTTTCTATTCATTTGTCTCTGTCAATCAGATTTTATTTATTAGTTAATAGTTCTTGAAATATAAAGTTATTTAGTTATTTAAGTTATCATAATCTAAGTAAGCCTAAACCCAAACAATTTGTTTTAAAAAAAATTTCAATTTGGTTTGGTTCGATTTAATAGTTAGAGTGGATTGATTTGTGTTGAAATTAAGGGTTATTGGCACAAAACATCTCTATCTAGGTTTATTTTGGAAAACGTCCACACCTTTCATTTTTTGACATTTTTGCCCTTATTTCCACATTTCTTTGCGGAAAACGTCATTTTCACCATTTTTAATGTAAAATGATTAAAATACCCTCCTATTTAAATAAAACCCAAAAAGAAAAAGAAAAATAAGGAATAAATTATAATCTTATTTCTATATATTTTAAGAAGTGCAAGTAAGTCCAAATAATTATTAAAAGGTCTAATAGCACAAAATTTCACTATGTTTGGTCTATAGTGTGAAAAATGTCCCTACATTTCAAATTGGTAAAATGAACGTTTTTCACAATGAAACGTGGAAATAAAGGCAAAAATATCAAAAAATGAAAGATGGGGACATTTTCTATAATAAACATTAAAGGTGGGGGCGTTTTGTGCCAATTACCCTTAAAATTAACCTAAAATGACTAATTTGATTTTGGTTTCGAGTTGAAGTTGAAACCGATCCAAACCAAATTGCTCACAGGCCTAAGAATAAAAGCTCTTCCCCTTCATTATAGATTTTTTTGTTTCTCAATGCTTTTAGATATGAAGCCTTGAAGCTTTGCTATGTCTAAAGACTTTGACAAGTTATACACAGGTTATGATGTCCATTTTGTATTAAGATCAATTTCTTGTGTTAGCTTAATTGTGCTTTGATTGACTTAATTAACATATTTATCTAGAGAAGAATCTCATAACATAATTTAAAGTAGGAATCTCATTTTAACTAAATATTTTTGGGGTTCCGAAGGTTTCATCTACAGGAGAACCAAAAATGTAGAGCTTTCCACTCTTTTTGCACAACTCTTTGGGATTTCCTGATTTTTATGTAGGTTTGAGTTTCAACTATAAAATGATAACTTGCAATTTATATATACCCATACTGAAAAAACATGTCAAACAGGATCGGCCTTAAGAACTTTAAGACCCTAGATGACTATTTATTATGAGGCCCTTATATATAAGCGTAGCAACATTAACTATTTAAATATGGTAATTAGCACAAAATATTCTTATCTTTCAATATTATTGTGCAAAGTGTTCATATCTTTCATTTTTTGACATTTTCACTCCTGTTTTCACATTTCATTGCAAAAAATATACTTTTCATCCAATTTCTTAATAAAAATGTAAAATAACAAATATATTCTCCTATTTAAATAAAAAAATAAGAAAAGAAAAGAACAAATTGCAATTATACTCCCAAACTTTTAAAAAAAATATGAATGAGTCCAAATAAATTATTAAAAGGGTAATTAGTACAAAATGTCCATATTTTTCAATATTATTGTGCAAAAAGTCCTTAACTTTCATTTTTGGCATTATCACCCTTATGTTCATATTTTTATTGCGAAAATCATCATTTTCTTAATTAAAAGCTGTAAAATGACGAATATGCCATCCTTTTAAATGATAAATAAAGAACAAATTACAACTGTACTCCCAAATTTTTCAAAAAATACAAATACATAATTAAAAAATTAAGAAAATTTTGGGAGTATAGTTGCAATTTATTTGTACTATTTTAAAAATTTTGGGAGCATAGTTCCAATTTTTTAAATTTAAATATGAGGGTATATTCATCATTTTACAACTTATAATTGATAAAATGGATAAAAATGATGATTTTTGTAATATAATGTGAAAATAAGGGTGAAAATGTCAAAAAATGAAAGGTATAAGTGTTTTGCACAATAATATTGAAAGATAAGAATTGTTTGTGCTAATTACCCTTTTAATAATTTATTTGGACTCATTTACAGTTTTTAAAAAAGTTTGAGAGTATAATTGTAATTTTTTTTTATTTTTTCTTTTATTAAAAAATTGGATGAAAATGACATTTTTTATAATGAAATGTGAAAATAAGAATGAAAATATCAAAAAATGAAAGATAAAAATATTTTGCACAATAACATTGAAATGTATGGATATTTTGTGCTAATTATCCCATTTAAATAAATAGCAAATTTATATTAAAATAAAGAGTGTACGAAATGAATTATGTAAATGTTTTAAATATAAAAGTATTTAGATTAAGCAAGTAGAATTTTTTTTGAGCCCCCAACTCTAGAGGCCTTAAGCCATTGCTTTAGTAGCTTTGGCTCAGGGCCAACTTTGATGTAAGCCTCAGTTAATGACCTCATTAGTTTGTTAATCACCATTCTAATCTAGATAGAGATAATAAATCATAATAGAATCTGTATAGTATATTCGACCATTTATTAACTATATTTTTGTGCTCCTCCAACAAATTCTATTTGAATCTGTGGTTAGCTATCATTAGGTTGCGTACAACGTTAAAGTTTCATAATTTCTCATTCTTCGCAAAGATCATGTTAAGTTAACATTATAACTTAATAAAGAGGCTAAATTTCTTAACAATGAAAATTTCGACTTCTGCAAAAACATATTTACAATCTGTTTGAGAGTGTTTTTTTGGCCCAAAAAATTGATTTTTTAACCGTTATTTCATTATTCCAGTCGTTATATTTGACTTCTCCTCTCACAGGTGAATCCCACTTTTTTCCTAACGATCAAAAAATCAATTCTTATAATCACTTCCAAACAGGCTCTTAAAGAGAACTTGAAAATTTCAGCATATGATGTTAGTTATAATCTAGCTTTAAACTTGGAACTTGTTTATTGAGTGATCTTCTATTTATAAGCAAAGCCGCTAGAACGAATGACTAGGATTAATTTAATTCAACGTTCTATCTTTGACTCTAAGGATATACAAAACATCTACAATAAAATATTCACACACTGTTTAAAAATTTGAACAATAATAAATATTTAAATTATGCAATATTCAAACTTATCTAGCCATTGTTTAATTCTCTTTATTTTCAAAATACATTTGCCTCTTCCTTCTTTTCTCCACAAATTTTTTGATAAAATAATATTACATGCAAACAAAAAAAAAAAATTCTTATATTTTAATTACACATTTTTCATCAATATATTATTTCAAAATACATTCTACACCAAAAAATGGGACTCAAGCATACCCATAATTAAATAAAAAAAAGAACTACTAGCATCCTTAAAATGTCTTGATTTATTGTAATAACAGTCAACCACAACAGAAATTCAAGATTCAACATCTATAGTTTGTTCAAACTTCCAAAAAAAAAAAAAAAAAAAAAAAAAAGGGAAGGTTTTCCCCATCTCTCTCATATGGAGATCCTCTCTTCTTGTTCCTTTATTTCACTCTTTACACAGAACAAGTACTATAGATTAAGTATAATGCTATTTAGCACCACTGATGTTAGAATATCAGTTTAGTTCTAATGTGACATTAAATGAAAGGTATAATTAAAAGAATCACTTCATTCTACCTTTCATTGAGCCTATCACTTAGTGCCTAAACTGATATTGTAGCACCAATGTTGTTAAATAGCATTATTCACAGATTAAACATGACCTTGATAGCTTTACCACCAAGTGCACTGGTTTCAAAGGCTTCTTCAACCTCCTTCTGAGAGAATCCATACCTGTGGGTGATAAACGGCTTTACATCTATCTTACCGCTCCTTATAAACTCAATGCATAAAGGCCACGTGTTCTTATATCGCCATATGCCTATCACGTCAATCTCTCTGAAACATTGTTTGAAATTATCAATTAGATTATGCATCCAAGGATGAAAAACGATGAAGGAGAAAGCGTAAAGGAAATAGAGGGAAATGAGTTGTGACTACGTCCCGTTTGGGCTAATCATCCTCTTGTAACAGTGAGAATGATAGAAAGTGCTGGTATGTTTACCAGAGAATTTTTGTTAGGCCTAACAAAATGTAAGTGTACTTAAAACCAACTTTTTATCCAAACAGAAATTCATTCCATTGTTATAAGCTTAGCCAAACAAAATCTAGTTAGCTGTTGCAAAATGGCATGATCAAAAATACCTTACTGCAGCTGGGGCAAGGGGGACAGTCATTATGCTATGGCCTAGTCCAACGAGGCAAACTTTTCCACCCGTACAAGTGGTGCCAAGAGCTGTTGACATGGTTTTATTAAAGCCTGCACAGTCGAAGGTCACGTCGACTCTAGCTCCCATAGCTTTTTTAATCTGTTCAATCTCTGAAGCCAAATCCTGCTTAAAACTCTTGTCAGTAGATAACAATACGATGGAGAAGCAGCTCAGGTTAGAATTTAATAGAGAAACGAGTCTAAGAAGACGCATAGCAAAAAATGAAGAAAAGAGAAACAAAAGGATATAGTAGTTATCAGTTTGACCACTAACCAAAAAATGTCTACTCATCTGTACCTTGAAAAACTATACTTCGGGTCATTTCGGAAAGCTGATACCCTTTCTGTACTTAGATCGTAGAATGATAGAAGGAACAAAGAATATCACCGTTGGTTATATGAAATTCCAATTTGGAGGTAAAGGGGCACGAGTAAATTTGGGATTCACTTGGGAGAAGGATATGGTAATCTAACTTCTTAACAAGATATGGAAACAGAACCATTAAACTAGCTACAAGTCAAATGCTTGTAAAATGACCTGAGAGTAAAACTTTTTAAGGAGAAAATTAATATTATGTTCACCTTTTCAATAGCTTTAAACGGAGGAATAATCTGATGTTAGAATAACAATAAAAATCACATAAGTAAAGATGATTCATGCAAAAGATTCAACCTTTATATCTGTAGAAACTTTGACAGTCTCGTCCGCTCCAAACTCCTTAGCAACTGAAAGACGGTGATCATCTACATCCACAATCACAGTTCTCGGGGACCCAAATGCACGGGCCACAAGTAGTGTTACAAGCCCAATAGGCCCTGCTCCCATCACCAACACATTTGTCTCGGGACCGATATTCGCACGACGACATGCATGAACACCAACACTCAAAGGCTCACACATAGCGCCCTCCTCAAAACTCATATTGTCTGGGAGTTTAAAACACAAGTCTGCAGGATGCACAATCTGTTGCAAGAAAGCAAGGGAAATTTGTCACTTTTAACCCCTTAGAAACGAAATCCAGTTCAATCAAAAGGGAATACACAAATATGTAGCAAAGTGCACTATTGGTCTGACGCACAAGATTTTAAGAAGATGCAGCAATTGATTTTGTGTGATTGAATCAAATTTCACTTAACGGAGTCATAAAAATTTGGAAACTCCACGAACCAGTAAATTAATGAGAATAATGATGCTTCATGAGTTGGCCCAAATGCAATGAAATGCCATATCTTGTAGAATATATATGATCAACCTCTCTCTCGAGTGTAGTATAGAGAGAGATGTTTAATTGTTTCATGCTATCATGTAGTCAATGTTAAAGACGTTTACGTGGTAAGAATGTGAATTTGAGAAATCTCCTAAATTGAAGTTTTTGGAAGTTTCTTTTTACACGTGAGTGTCTGTGTACAGGTAAATGTGGACTATTAAACTGAACAACACATAGTAGAGATAATTTTCCCGCAAAATTTTCTGCATTGATCTCCATGTATATTGTTCTCTTCAGTAGGAAGTAAGGAAGTGAAATATATTCTGTTAAATTATTTTAAATTGTATATAATAAACTTGTGTTACTATTACAGAGTAGAAAATCGGCCACAAGTAACTCGAAAAAGAACTATCACTCAATCAACTATTTTTTAGATCAAGTAATCACAATTCTCATTTTCCTCCATGCAACACTGGTCTTTCCGTATCAGAACCCGCTCCACAATTCTCTCCAACATGATCTCCTCTATCAGCTCAGCATCCCATTGATTTTTTCTCAATTCTATCAATCATGACAATTGATACATTTCATAACTATACTGTATTCCATAATTCGTATATTCAACCTTGTTATTTAAGTCAATGAAATACTAAGAAGAGATAAGTTGGCTCTTCCATTTATCTCACCCATCATAGTTATTTCTACAGCTTCTTATTGTTCTTACATGGTATCAGAGACTATTAAGCTCAAACGAGCAATTCGATCCAAATAAGACCAAAAAATGAGCACATGGATTTCAAGATTGACTTGCTCAAATGAGCCACTATTTTGCGGAGGTATATTAAGGGATATAATCTCGCATTGAATAGAGATGAATAATATAGACCAATTTATCACAACCTTACGTTGGAGAAGACACCATTACTGCTGGAAATGGATCAGGTTTAGTAACTAACAATATAGATTCCACATCCCTTAAAACAAACACTTCCAATTTTTTTCTTAACAAAGTCCTTCATTGTCCTAATGCCTCATCCAACTTAATTTCCATTAATCGTTTTTACCTTGATAATGATTACTATTTTTTATTGATTGGATTTGATTTTTTGTGAAGGAGAACAAGACGAGGTAGCTCTTATTTCATAGGAAAGTTAAGAATGGGCTCTTCCCTATTGCGGAGACTATATCTTGTTCAACAAAGATTTCATGCTTTAGATGTCTGACACGATTGTCTAGAGCACCTTTCCTAAGTTACTTTAAATCAATTGTCTCGATCTAAGTATTTTTTTTATTTCATCCAATAAATTAGGGTTCTGTTCAGCATGTCCCATCGGGAAAGCCAAACAATTAGCTTTTAGCATCAGTCTTTGCATCCTTTATGTCTTATTTATAGGGATGACAAAGATACCCATCAAACTTGATATCCGCAGGGCCTCGCCCCAAACGAGACGAGGATTGCCCATTTAATTGGTCAGGTAACAGGGGCTCGCCCTTCTTTGCGCCACCTCATTTAATTTTTTTTTAAGAATTCAATACTTTAAATGGAAAAACTCTACAAAATTTTATTAATTCTAATTGAAGATGGAAATTAAGATTATCTAAGAAATATGATAAACAATAAAAACTTAGTTTATCAAATTTATTCGAATAATTTAACTTTTAAAAATTAAAAAACTTAATAACTATAATATTGTCTCACTTGAATGAATGGGGGTAATAAAACTATAAAAAAAATTAAACGAGTACGTGAACGGTGCAACCGCACCTTGCCCCACCTTAAACGGGTAATGGGGCAGTAAAATGCCCGATTGGGCGGGGGGGCCTGTCCCTTGCCAACTGTTAGGTCTAAATGTGTTATTGGCAATTCTGTGAACAAAATGGGTTTAATCGTATGTTTGTAAAATTCAGGGACTCAATTGAACATTCTTGTAAAAGTCAAGGACTTGAGGTGCAATTTTGTATAGATGAGGTAAATTAGTGTTTGAGTCGTTAAAGGAGTCCAAGATATCCAAGAAGATCACATAAGATCATCGGAATGCAATTGAAAGTCTAAAAGATATCAAAGAGCCGCACAAATTATGTTTCGAATTTTCAGTCTTCACTTGGAACACATTTCACACATAGAAACAGTTGGAATTTGGACAAGGCTACTTCTAGAAGAATTGTAGCCCTTTGAGTTAGCTGTTCAACAAAACTTGAATCACCTTAATCGGACATCAAGAGAGAAAGTTATGATGAAAATACTAACGACTACTCAGCAGTCACTCGACTTTCGCTCAACCCTCGCTCGAGCGATAATAACAGAATGGGTATCGCTAGAGTTTCGCCCCACCCTCGCTCGAGCGACCGTTCTACGCGGAAAAAAACCCTAGTACGCGTTTTTAAGTGTTTTACTCGGCCCATACTACCAAAACACCTTTAAATATAAACACCTAAGCCCTAACACGAATTTTGGGTGGTTGCTCATTGTGCCTCTCTTGAAAAAACATCTTCTACTCCATTCTTGAAGAGATCCAAGGCAAATCAATTGAAGATCCAAGATAATATTCTTCTTCTACATCTTCTTCAAGAGATCTAAGACAATATTGATTGAAGATTTTATCTATGCAATTCTTGTGATCCGGCAACCATTTCTTGGGAAAACATCAAACATTCTTGAAGACAAACACCTGGCTTCCTCAACTGATTGAAGGAAGGAACTCTCTCTTTGGTGGACTGAGAGAGTGGTGCAAGGTGCAGTTACAAGCACAAGAACAGGAGGTTCTTGGCGTTCCACTTGTGAGGATATTCAGTACAAGATCAGAAGACTGTAGGAGACAGCAGATTGGGCTGCAGGAGGTCGACTTAGGAGTCTAGCAGGAGTCTAGAGAGTCTACACAGTAGATCATCAGGCTGTGACAGTGAATCTTGATGGGTTCTTTGATTGGCGAATCATTGTAATCTCTGAAGTATCGTTAGTGGAGGTAACTGGCTTGTGCCCGGAGTTTTTCCCGTGTTGGGTTTCTCCGTCAACAATTCTTGTGTTGATTTTGTTTTTACTACTTTCAGTTATTTAGAATAATATGCGGTAATTCAACATAGGATTAAATTGGATTGTATGTCTAATCATCTAGATAACTAACAAAAGTGACTTGTTGCTTTAGTTAGATTAATTCCGCACGTAAGATCGAATTGGTAATTGGAACGTACACTTGGTAAATGCTTAAAATTTGAATTTGACATTGTATAGCGTTCCCGTGAACTTTCTAAGTGTAGTAGCGCGTTCCTAGAACTTTCACCAACCCTACTTATTCATTATAATTTATGGACATCTCTATGTACTCGGTTGGTGGTTCAAATATTATATTATCCTTGTTGATGATTATTCTTGCTAAATTTGGCTCTACCCATTAATAACTTATAAAAATGAGGATTTCCAAAATTTCAAACAATTCAATGCACTAGTTGAAAATATCTTGTCTTGTAAAATCCAACAATTCCAAACAGATAATAGTGGCAAACATCTCTCTACCCAATTTACAAGTTTTTTGCAAGAAAATGATATTTTTCATCGCTTAATGTGTCTTTATACCTCTCAACAAATTGGCATAGCCGAAAGAGAATATCGACACATTGATGAAATAGGCCTCACTCTTTTGGCTCGGTCCCACTTTCCAAATACATATTGGTAAGATGCATTGTTGACATTTGTATATTTGATAAATAGGCTTCCAACAAAAGTGTTGAATGATTTAACACTTTTTTAGATGCTCCATAAAACCATTCCGTATTACTCTCACCTTCGAATATTTAGATCGGCATGTCTCCTTTATTGAGACCGTATAAACCTCATAAATTATCCTTTAGAAGCAAAATATGCGTCTTTCTAGGATACGCCAATCAACAAAGAGGTTACTGATGTCTTGACCTAGCTACATGGGGTGTTTATATGTCACAAAATGTAATTTTTGATGAACAATATTTTCTTACAAAAGGTCAAGCCCAAACTTCTTCTGCATTGTTGAGCTCGAGCCTACATGTTATGTTTTCTCCTTTTCCTCTTTCAATTCCTGAATTTACTATTCTACTAACTCTGGTTACTGACCAAACAACCTCCAGCCGTGAGATCCCCACCCAATCACAAACCCCTTCCTGAATCCCATTTTCCCAAAACATAAAGGCCTTGAAATCTCCCATCCCAAACCACATGAAACCCAGCCCACATCCCAATAGTGCAACAACCCACTCAATGATATGTAAGCCAAACCTAAAGCCTTCCTCGATTTTACAATGTTTTATAATATTAGGCATCCATTGCAGGTAATCTTCTCTGTTGTCACTGAGACCGAGCTATCCATTACACACAAGCGGTTGCTTATCCAGCCTGGCGTGAACCAATAGGATCGAAATTTGATGAACTAATGGTGAATGAGACTTGGTCACACTGCCCCACCCACTTGGTAAGCATGTACTTCGTAACAAATGGATTTATAATATCAAGAGATATCTAATGAAAGTATTGAATGATTTAAAGCCCATTCGATAGCGAAAGGTTTTGATCAACAATGTGACATTGACTACACAGACACATTTTCTCCTGTGGTAAAACCAACTTCTATTCGCATTGTGTTAGCCTTAACCAATTACATTTAATTGGCCCATTATGCAATTAGACATTTCAAATGCTTTTCTGCATGGCTATCTTGATTATGAAGTATTTATGGAACAACCACGAGGTTTTGTAGAAGAGACATATCTTGATTATGTGTGTAAACTTCATAAGTCACTTTATGGTCTTAAACTTGCTCCAAGAGCTTGGTTTAGATGACTGTCCGAACACCTGCTTAAGCATGGTTTTGTTCTATCAGCCACTGACTAATCACTTTTGTTATATACTTTTGAGTCTGTGAATTTGTGGTCATATATGGTGCCGACATTATAGTTATTGAGTCAAGCACACAGGTAACTGATACTTTTATTCTCTACTGACTAACTTCGTGGTTAAAGATCTTGGAGAACTGAGTTTCTTTATAGGTGTTCAAGCATCGACAGATTCTCAAGGTCTACATCTTTATCAAATCTGGTACATCACAGATTTACGACGCAATACCAAGATGGTTGGAGCAAAGCCATTTGGGTGGCCAACCACGTCTGCTCTGAAGTTAACTTCTACAGAAGGTCCTTTATTACTTGATCCAACATAGTATAGAAGAGTAGTTGGGGTACTTCAATACTGTACATTCTGTAGACTGGATATTGCATATGTAGTAAATCAATTGTGCTAATTTATGCATTCTCCGTGTAAACCTTATGGGATGCAGTCAATTGAGTGCTTCGATGTCTGAACGGCAGTACTGATACAGGTCTATTGTTCACTCTAGGATCTATCACTCTTTAAACTTTTTGTGATTGTGATTAGGTCGGTAATCCTGATGATCATCGCGATACCACCGGATATGCAGTTTTTCTTGGAAAAAATTTGATATCAAATCTGCCAAGAACCAACTAATTGTCTCCAAGAGTAGCATTGAAGTTGAATATAGAAGCATGGCCATTGCATCGCTGAAATCTATTGGATAAGAATGCTCCACAAGGAACTTGGTGTCTTCTTACCGTACACTTCTACGCTATGGTCTGATGACATTGGTGCCATCTCCTTGGCTTTTAATCCCTTTTTCACACCCGTACAAAGCACGTGGAAATTGTCTACCACTTCATTAAAGAAAAGGTCCTTAATAAAGACGTTCATATGCAACATGTTGCCACACAATATTAGATACTATCTTTGCGGGAATGTTAAGTTATGAAAGTCCCAGATCACATATTTACTACACAATACCAAGATGGCAGGACAAAGCCACTTGGGTGCCCAACTAAGTCTAGTCCCAAGTTATCTTCTATAGAAGGGTCCCTTATTACTTGATCCAATAGAGTATTCAAGAGTGGTTGGGGTATTTCAGTACTGTACTTCCTCTAGATCGGATATTGCATAAGTAGTAAATCAATTGTACCAATTTATGCATTCTCTGCGTAAACCTCATTGGGCTGCAGCCAAGAGAGTTTTTAGCCATTGATACATGTCTATTGTTCATTCCAGGATCTATTACTCTTCAAGCTTTTTGTGATTCAGATTGGGCTGGTAATCCTGATGATCATCACGGTAACATTGGAGACGTAGTTTTTTCTTGGAAAAAAATTGATGCCATGGTCTACTAATAAACAATCAATTGTCTCTAAGAGTAATACTAAAGCTGAACAGAGAAACATGGCCATCGCTATCGTTGAAATCTATAGGACAAGAATGCTCCTTAAGGAACCTGGTGTCTTCCTACCATACACTCATATACTATGGTGTGAGAACATTGTTGCTATCGCCTTGGCTTCTAATCCCATTTTCTATACCCGCATGAAGCAAATGGAATTTGACTACCACTTCATTAGAGAAAAGGCCCTCAACAAAGACATTCAGATGCAACATATTTTCGTACAAGATCAAATTGGTGATATGTTGACAAAGGGGCAAACAGCTGACCATTTTGGTGTACTTCGACCCAAACTGATGGTGATGATCATTCCCGTCACTTTACTGTGGGAGGGGTGACCAAGTAATTACAATCCTCAATCTCCTCCATGCAAACTGGTATTTCCATACAGTACCTGCTTTACTCCAACATGATCTTCTATATCTACTTTGCATCCCATTGATTTCTCCTCAATTCTATCAATCCTAACAATTGTATATTCCATAACGATACTATATTCTATAATTTATATATTCAGCTTTGTTATTTAAATCAATGAAATACATAGACAAGGTAAGTCGGATCTTCCATTCATCTCACCCATCATAGCTATTACTACATCTTCTTACTGTTCTTACACTATTAAGGAAAATAAATCTATATAATTGAAAAAACTGTCATGAAGAATAATCTTATAATTTTTTCGTATCTTCAACATCCTCCGTCAAATTAAATATGGTGTTGTATAAACCAAATTGAGTTTGAATTGATCTAAGAAAATCATCATTTTCAAGATTTAAATGGTATTTCAAATTTCATTTACATTGCAACTTGACTAAGGCAACCAAGAACTAGAAATTGGTGCGAAAGAAATCATTATTTACCATGACAATTACTAAGACTTGAGAGGGGAACATTCCACTAGCAGAAAAACTAGCACTCCTAAAATTCATGGGATTACCCATAATCTACTCAAAGATAGAGCCGAAGACTAGCCTAACAATAAGAACACAAATGCACTAAGAAGCCAATAAGATGTGATTAAAATAAATTTGGTGGAAAAATAATAGGATTTTATTCCAAATAAGGGGTCCAACAACATGATCATCAACAATCCCTCCTTCGCCATGAGGATCTTGCAACCTGAACTAATGATTGTTAGCAACAACAATAGAAGTGATCATAATCAATGCACAAGCGTAGTAATTTTTGCATCTTCATAATCTAGTGACTTTGGGAAATTTTTAATTGCTAAAACCATTTGTTGGATTCGATCGTCAGAGCTCAATGTTGCTTCCATGACCATCATCGACTCGAAGGATTATTAAGAGAAAGTATAGTCTATACATCTTCGTGGAGGAGTGTCATAAGAGGACCTGGACATGGATCTGCCACTGAAGGTGGAACAATAATGAGGACTTTTCACCAAGCTCTTGGTATTTTCTATGGAACAAGAGCCCGAATTCTTAAAACCAACTTTCATCGAACCTTTTCAAGTCCACGCGTGACTAGGATGATTAGCCACAATCTGAGCGGTATTGCCTACCTTACCCTACCACTCTTCTAAGCCAAGGAAGGAAGGAAGAAGCTTGGTAAAGACTAAGCCGAATAGGAAAGATTAGTGAAACCGGATGAGTTTTCCTAGTTTTCGTGTGGACTTTGATTGCATGAAAGGTTCATCAAGTGTCTCCTTAAGAGGAGTCACAACTTTGTCTTTTCGCTTGTCATAGTTGACGTAGTGGTTTAAAACTTAAAGTTTATTTAAGATCGAAAGATAAGGGGACAAAACTGAGTGTGCCAATAAATTTGTATGACCAATTTTGTGTATAAAATATACAAAACTTTTTACAAATTAATGTATGATATGTAGTGAAGTTGATCTTCTTGTGACTACGAAATTTCACAATCAACTGATTGAAGATTTGAATGTTTGAAGACGAGGACCGTGGGGATCAAATTTTAGACTTCAAGATATGTTAGAAATTTAATTTGTTGAGAACTTGACTTGCTTAGGACTTGCACTTCACTTAGACTTCAGAAACTTGGATTTGGTGTTTGTTTGGTAGGAATTTTGTTAATTAATTTTTTGACCGTTAGAAATAAAATGGGTTCTACCTGTGAGAGAAAAATTTAAAAATTATAGCTAGAATAGTGAAATAACGGTAAAAAAATTGATGTTAATTGGATTAAAATCTCTACCAAATATGCTCTTGAACTTGAAGGCTTAAATTTAAATTTGCTTCGATTTAGATCTAGTGGACTTGGCTTGGACTTGCTTGAATTTGAAAATGACTTTGATCTTCTTTGGATTTTCCAAACTTGGAATTGAGATATTTATTCTCTTCTTCCCTACTTTGAATTTTCTTCTTAACTTCCTTCTTATGTACTTGCGATTTTCTCCCATGCTTTAACTTAATCCCTTTTTATGGACATTGGGTCCTATTTATAAAGAAAGTTGATAACCATCCAATTACATTTAGCTAAAAAAGTAATTAAAGATGATTATGGATTTTGAAAAGTAGGATTGAATTGTTGAATGGGATGAGCCTTACACTTTATATTTTAATAGACTTAAATATCCTGATTATTTAAAATTGATCCGAAAAATTAAATTATTTTATTTATTTTTGTCTACACTGCATATTCGCTTAAAATTAATTTGGTAGAACGTGAAGTCATAAATTTTAGAAATTTGCAACTTTTGATATATACCTGATTTGCAAGCGAACCATGGACAGGTGGAGTAGCGAAAAACTTCATGTCAGCACACAAATTGTATCGACCTTCTTTGCAACGACTACATCTCCAACAGTTGATTCCTGGCTCGATTGCCACACGATCGCCCGGCACAAGGTGCTTTACTTCAGTACCAACTTCCTCGATGATCCCGGCACATTCATGCCCAATCACCATTGGTTCTTTAACAACAAAATCTGCTAATCTCATCGTCTGAAATATTCATAAAACATTATAAATAATAATCATATTGACAGAACAATAAATATAAAGCAATAAAATTTAACATTAAATATCTTAAAAAGAATATGAATTATTCATCTGATGTTTAAAACTCGAAAGTATAATAAACAATAATCTAGCTTATTTTTCTACTTCAATCGCGTTGAATTGAAAGTTGTCACCAACTTAAGATGAAACTCCAAGAATTCTCTAAAACATTGTGTTGATTTCTTAGTGATTGAGTTCTAAATTCTTCTTAAGCTGCCAACATGAGAGAAGGTCCTAGAATATTGTTATATAGTTTTATTTTCCACCACAATTCTAGAAGAGTTTACCACAGGCATAAACTCCTATATATCATTTTAGACAGATTCACAATCAAGTAGAAAGCAGAAACTTTAATTTCTCTGCAGTAATTAAAGCTAGAAAACCTAGTATATATAATTATTGGCCTGAGATATTACAACAAGTAGAAAGATTTTCGGAACCATTTTTTAAAGGATTTTACTCATTAGAAGAAGTTTTAAATTTCTGTAAAAAAAAAAATAATACGATTTAATTTTTATATATCTGAAAGAGTTGGACAAATTATGACTATGCAAACTTCTGCTTCTCAACCATCATTTTCATCTTCACCAATACAATTTTGTGATAGTTGTGAAACTATGACAGTTAGAGATTTGAATCGTATAAAATATTTATTAGAAGAAAGATTACAAATCATTAAAGACGAAATCATTTCATCTCAATGAACCATTAATAAATATCAAAATAAGATTCGTTAGTTACAAGATAGTTTAAAAATACTTAGTTCTAGAGATATTATTGAAAGACCCATCTCCAAAGATATTGCTTCTACAAGTATAAATTGTTTTGACAAAATAGAAAGACATATTTGAATTAATAGATTCTATAATTGTAGGGCATGAAAAAACATTATATGAATTAGAACATAAAATTGGCGGTTGTGCCAGTATAGTTCGAAATTCTATAAAGAAATTAATCATATAGGAGATAATCGATTTTTCTCAAATTCTAAACTATTTCCATAATGAGAATCGATATTTTCTTAAACATGGCCCTAAATATGAATCATCTATTAAAAATTCAGTATTCCTTAGATACAATTATCTTACAATTTTCTTTGATTATACAATTTTTGAAGAAGAAGACCCTTTTTTATCTCATTTTACAGTTTGGCACGATAGACACTATATGTGTTCTAAACAGATCTTTGAAATTCTTTTCACCAAAACTTAAACAGACTCTTGATCAGTTAAAAAATTACCTTTAAATGATCCAATTTATTTTCAGACCACCACTTGTAAATAATGGTAAAGATTAATGGCTTATCATTATATTCAAATATATAAAAGAGCCAAAAAATTTAGACCCTCTTCAAAGACAAATACCAAAATAAAAATTAGATAGAATGATTATGAAGGGCAGATCACAGAGATAGCAACAATGAGTAGAAATTCAGAATATTTATTATAGACTTGTAGCACAATGAAACAATGGAGTTATTTTTTTGTCAAGAATATCTTGCTATAAAGTTGAAACAGGAATAATTTCAACACCAAATATTCAACAAAAAAGTTATAATTGAAGGTCTTTCAAGAAATAGTTGATGAATTATTAGAAAATCGACCGGATACAAAAGATGAAGAAGAACACGTATCTGATGGAAAAAATAATGAAATCGATGCTAACCTAAAAGAAGCCTGCATAGAGATAATGGAAAAACAATACAATAATTCAAAAGAAGAATAGATATAAAGGCAGAGAAATGACACTATTAGAAGCAAGGACAATAAACAGCACTCAAAGGACAATTATCAATACAGAAAGTCAAAAAGGAAAAGTGTAAAGAGGAAAAATCTTTATTATTTCCATACACCTATAGAGTTAATATCCACAACTTTAATTGTAATCACACACCTATAAAGATATACAGTATTATTTTTTTTTTTTTGTAAGAAGTTGATGTGATATATCAGCATCTATTTCTCTATAAGAGCCAAAGGTATTCCACACAAGAATACACATAAAAAACACATAGTACACCATATAACACTTGTACTAAAAAAAAAAAAACTTTCTCAATCCTTGTAAATTCGAAGACTTCAAAATTAAAGTAAGTTCTTTAATAATTCCTTTTGCCTTGATACTTTATTTTACTTTATTTATTTTCGGACAAAGCTTAAAATAAGAAACATCAATTAAGCAATTAATTATTTCAGAAGTAATAATATAATATTTTACCATTTTTCAAATGTATTTTTAATGCTCTTAGCCTCTTTATTCTGAATTTCATACCCAAAAGATAAAGTAATCTCTGAGTTAAGTTGACTGTGTAGTATCTCAATTAAAAGAGTTTGTTTAAGCATTTTTAAACATAATGAAAATCGTTTTTGTTTCAGTCTTAAGCCTTTTTTAAAAGGTCAAGATTAAAGCTTAGAGAAAGTTAAAAAAAACTATGAAGAAATTAATTTATTGAATGATAAACTATTCTAAGGCCATTACAAATATATTGTTTCAAGTTTTTGTGTTTTATGCTGTTAAGTAAATATATTTCATCTATTTTATTTTGTTGTTTGTTAGAAAATTTTTGTAAATTTATTTAGAAAATCGAGTGGTTGATTAGTTATTATAGAAAGCTATATATTATTCACATTAAATAGAAATAGAGGCGACTCCTCTATATAGATCAAGAGACAAATCACTGAGCGTTCTATCTCTCAGTGTCAAAGTTTCTTGATAGAAGGTTCTACTAATTTTAAGAAAAGACAAAAATAAATATAAATTGCAAGAAAAGATAAAAACAATAGCAATATAATAAAAAGAAAGACAAAAATAGAGAAGATTCTTAGATTTGGTATTGAGCCATTTTTTTTAGTCTAAAACATAGCTTATGAAAAAAAATAGATTATTTGAATTTAGAACTTCTAGGAAATTTTGGAAGAAATGATAGGTTAGATATATTTCTTTATTTTGTAACTTTGATAAAAAAATTTAAACATTTTTTATGTTCTAAAGACAAATAGTTAATTAGTGTTGTAGATTTACTCGTAAATTTAAGAGCAAATTTAGAAAGAAATAATTCAAATAAACAGGTAGAAACTTTATTAGAACGTATAAATAAACATAAAATTTTAAAAAATAATTTAGAAAATATTAAAAACCAAAATAGTGAAACATTAAAAAGGAAATTTTGTAATATAGGTGAAAGAGACATTAGTCCTAACTTAGAGAAATTGGAAAGCAGGATTAAAACGTTAGAACAAGAAAAGTCGATAGATACTAAACAATAATTAGATAATTTAATAAATAAGATAGAAAAATTAGATCTAGGAAAAGTTAAGAGTCTAGTAGATTAAAAAAAATAAAAAAAAATAAAAGCTAACTGAATTTATACTTAATGGATAAGGGAAAGCAAATTGTAGCTACTAGTAGTAGGTTGGTAGGTAATCCTTTACTAAGGCATTAAGTAGAAAAATGGAATCCGAGACAAGATAAGAATCTTTAATAAATATAGAAGAACTGATAGAAATATTTAGACAAAATAAATTGAAATTAGTCAAAGTTTTAGAGATACATAAAAAGGAAAATATTTTTATCAAATCCTTAATATACAACATTATGGTGAAAGATATGTATCTTGTACGCATGAAGATCAATTTATATTGCTAGATTTAATAGAAAATAATCTTATAAAGAAATTGTTAAATAAAAACTTTCAACGAACTCATTTAGGATTAATAACAGTAGGAGTAAAAGGATTTCCAGAGAGAATTTAGGAGTCAAAGTATTAATATGCATAGATGGTAGCAGATTCATATAATATAGAACAAGGACTATTAGGATGCATAGAATTAGACATGAATAATAAAGGTGGAATAGTATACTTTACTCTAGATTATTTAGTTCAAACAAAAAGTTTTTATAAAGACATTAAAAGAGAAATAAAAAGTAACGGATATCAAATGAAAAGAGATGAAGACAATTGTTAATTTGTCCGAGTTCATAGAAAGACTTAGTGAAAGCAATACTACCAATTATAAATTAGAAAATAATCAAATAATTACATTTTTTGAACAAAAAGGCATAAAAGCCATCCATCAAAGAAATTCTCTTCAGAAACAAATGTAGGATTAGATTTAAACTTAGGAAACTTTTTAGAAAATCGATATTGGTACTTGAAGATAGTATTATGTACAAAAATATTAATGAAACTCTAAGTATTAGATTAGGAAATTTTAATATCAAGCATAACAAACAAAGCATAATGAATAAGAAATTGACGAAAAATATAAATATATTGAAATAGAAGACTATTCAATGCATAGATACATAGATAGTGAAGACGCTTGGAAAGAATTTGGATACATAGATATGAAATATTATAGAAATCTTAAAAAATCTGGAGAAGTAGAAATTAAAGCTTTATTAGAAAAAGATCAAAAGTATATATAAATTAAAATGGAAGAAAGTAGCGAAAGTTATAAAAAATTTCAAATCAGAAACAGATTTAGAATTTGGAAAAAGAAAAGAACGCATGAATACGGATTATGACATAGGAGGAAAGTATCATTTTCCACCTGCAAGACTATATTAATAAGAAGACAAAAAATATAAAACTCTAGGAAAAAAGACAAGTAGAAGAAGGATGTAGCTCACCAATAACAAGCGACATAGGATTAATTTTAAAAATGAATAATTGTAAACCTCAAGGCAAACCTAGTACAATAACTAAATAAGAAAATTCTGTAATTAGAGCATATATAAATAGTGTACCTATATATATGATCGTAGAAGAAATGTCGGCCTATTTAGGCAAGACAACATTATACATATATGTTACATCTAAAGGATTAAAAGCAAAAGAAATTAGATCAAGAATGGTCGGAGGAAATAATCCCAAAAATTTTACAAGTTTTATTAGAAAAATAATTATAGGATCAGATGCCAGTAGAGACAATACTTATGGA